TCGTTGCCACATGGGTATGCCCAGAGAAGTCCAAATCCAGATTTCTACACAAACTATTTCAGTTTTGAAATACTGACAAGCATTTTTTGAAAAGCACTGCATGGATTTAATATGTTACACCTGCCACCAGGTTTGAAGCTTTGACCAGAGAAAGAGAAATTGGTTGAATAAAGACCAATCCAGAGGTGCTGATCATAGTAAAAGAATGAATAGTTATTGTGCATGATAAAAACAATCCTACTCATGTAATAAAGACAACTGTGAGAGCAACAGGTGTGCAGCCAGCTTCTATTGTGTCTCCACTGAGGTTGAAGTAAGAAGGACTTGAGATACATCAGAAAGGACTAAGATTAGAAATCAAAACTTAAGGATTTTGAGGCACCAGCATATTTTACCTTGGGTCTGCTCTGTTCCATATTTTTAAGAAAGAATGATGAATTCCCTTCAAGTTATGAGTAAAGGTTAATCACATTTCTTATAAAGCCAGGTTGATTCCCCCACTCCCTGAAAATTTCATAAATGCCGAATGACATACTACCATGGAAGTTTTCCAGGAGTCTCTTTTTGATACCCTGTCCCAAGAAAATGGCTTTTGAATCACCTGACCCTGGAGCCAGGAAACTCTCCAGTGTTGTCAGTAATAAGGTCTTCAACCCAAAAAACTTTATGGGAATCTCACAGTGAGATTTCCTGTTCGGAAATTTCCACCAGCCTGTCCGTGGCTCTTTCCTGGCTCATCAGTTCATTCAGCTGCCTCTGGAGGAAGCTCCTTGCTCAATAAGGGAGTCAGCAAAAGAGAGGAGAAGGGGATTGAAGGAGGAAGAGAGAACCAGCTACAGGCTGGTTTCTCCCACCTGCCCTTCCTGGGCCCTGACTGATGATGCTCTGTAGAGCTCTTTCACTGGATAGAGAGACCCCAGTCACCTGTAAGTCTGATTCTTTGTTCTGGTGTTTGCCAAGTGAGGCTATGATATTCTGGGTAGATTTTGGATCTGGAATCAGAAGACCTGTGTTTGAGCCCTGTCTTTTACTATCTGTATGCTCCTGGGCAAAACAATTTAAGCTCTACGGACTTCATTGATAAAATGACAATAATAATATCTACTTCTTGTGGTTCTTATCAGACTCAAATTAAATAAGTACATATGAAAGCTTTTTTGTAAACCATAACACTCCATGTAGACATAAGGTTTGTATGTGTCAGCATGAGACCAGAAATTGCTCTTGGCCATTGATAATAAAACATATCTTTTATCATAGAAGACTTGTGGAAGAGACGGCTAACATTGTTCAAAATTTCATACTTCTGTAGTATAGCATTGTCATTGGGATATGGCTGCTCAGCCAAGGACAGTATTTCCCAGTCTTTTTTGCATTTGGGTTTGTTAAAGTTTTTGCTAATGGAATAAAAGCAAAAATGATGAGTACCACTTCAAAGTCAAGGCTCGAAGAAGAGTGTGTGCCTTCTCTAATTTTCTTCCCATCTCCCAGCTCAGTGAAGAGGACTCCAAGGCCCCAGGGGATGGCAGAGTCACAACATGCAGGAAAGTTGAGTCTCTGAAACACTATGAGGGAGAAAGCCACCTGCTGACCAGGAACCTCCTCATTAGGCAAACAACCTAAATGAGTGAGAACTGAACTTTGAATTTTCTAAGCCACCAAAATAATGGGGTTTATATGTTACAGCAGCTAACAAGACCCTGTCCGAGGGTGGTACAAATGTTAACGTGTTCTGCTGCTAACTGAAAGGTTGGAGGTTAGAGTCCTCCCAGAGGTACCTCAGAAGAAAGGCATAGCAATCCACTTCTGAAAAATTAGCTATTGAAAACCTTATGGAGCACAGTTTTACTTTGACACACATGGGGTCAACTCGACGCAACTGAAAAAAGAAAAAAAAAAAATCCACATTGCCCTAATAAATGAGTCAAAGGGATGGGAATGTTGTGGCTCAGTCAATAAAAAGCCCCGAAGGTGGTGCACAATGGCTGGTGATGTTGTTTCACCATGGTTAATGTACAGGCAACAAGGCCAAGGAATTAGTTTCTATTCTCAGCTCCTGTGATATGCTGGGCACACCCCCAAGCTCTCTATTTCTCCATTTTCATCATCTGTGACACAAGGATAATCACGATTCTCCCCGCCTCTCTTGTGAGATTTTTATTGCAATAACATCTGTAAATTACTTTGAATTCTTCGATAAAATTCTTACCAATGTTTCTTTGAAGAAAGAGAGATGGCATCTTAAAAGCCAGTGTGGCTGCCAGGGCTTTCTCTCGTCAGTTATTATAAAGAGAGATGTGTTACCAGTGATGGACAAAGAACAGTCACTAAAGTGGCTCAGAAAGGCAGATGCTCTAAATGAGTGGATATCCTGGAACATGGTGCGAGAAAGGGCAGGCTGCCACAGAACCTGGGGGCTTGGCAACATGTAGCAAAGATGCGTGAGCTTCAGGAACTTAAACGAGTCAGGCTGAACTGCCCATAATTTCCTGTTGATAGTCATTAGATCGATAGATTAGGAAACTTTTGTAGATTTTTAGCAGTCCAACAATATTACCGTGGACAAAAATAAGACTGGATGAGAGTCCGGTTTTCAAACATGTTTAAAACTGATTAATGGTCTTGGCATCTTAAGCTGATCAAGGGGCTTCATGAATTGCAAAGCGTGGTCTAATGCTAAGTCAGATAAAGCTGACACACGACTATACATACAACTATTTTTATGCGTCCTCTAGAACCCCAGCGTTAAAGCTAGAAGCAATGGACTACAGAGACCATATTAAAGCCTCGTTTGTAGTTTGGGAAACTTGGATCCAGAGAGGAGAAGTCACTGGCTCAAGACCACAGAACTAATTAGTGGTGGCATCCAGACTAGTACCCCAGTCTTCAGATTCCCAGACTGTTCCCCTCACCCCTCTTCCCCATTCTCTATAGTTTATCCCAGCTTCTCTCTTGGCAAAGCCTAACATCTAGATAACCCAGAAATGACTCATAGAATGGGAAAGATGGGCACAAATGGTTTTCATGATTTTGCATCTACATTTAATCAGCTAAAGGTCATTCTTCATCTGCAACTTAGTAGGTGACAAAACATGGACCGAGCCTTCTAGTCAAACCTTTCTCCCGGTCTTCTTTCTCAGGTTATTTTGTTTTACCTACAAATCCTATTGCTATCCAGTTGTCATCTCCCACAGCAGGACTTGCATTCTTGATGCTTCTTTCTCAGCCCCATTGTTTGCCTAAAGTTTAGGCCCAGGAAAGAGCTGAAAACCCGCATTCCAGAAAGTGAGAAAGGAGAAAAAGCCTTCAGCATGATTTGACAACATCACTCCATAGCCTAAAACTTTCCTAGGAGCCCACTGCAGACAGTTTTGAATCCTTAGCAGAGCACACAGTGGGGTTACAGTTACGATCTGCCTACCTCTATCATAAACTTTATACTCTAGCCACCAATCCATGACGATGCCTTTTCCTGTCGCTCCCCTATGCCTTTGAGCGTACTGTTCCTTTTGTCTGTGCTATGCTCAACTCCACCAGGGTAAATCACTACTCTTCCTTCAACATCCTACTTAAATGTTACATTCTCTGTGAAGTCTTTCTGGACTCTTCCAGGCTGAGTTAGTGTTTCTTCCCCTTGTGTTCCCTCCATACTCTCTTTATGCTTCTCTTAGAGCACTCCTGGCACAGAACTGTAATTTTTATTTGTACCTTGGAGGTTGATATGCTTCATAGGCTGCTTCCTATCACTTAACTTTTGGAAAGGACAATAATACATACAATGTGATTGCCACCCTCCTCTCCTTACCTGAGTTATTTGGACCAGAAATGGACACCTGACACAAAACAACTAATAGGTTCTCCCTGGGTCTGGTTCTCCCCTCACTTCTCCAGGCACCACAGCAACCATGACACAGCCTTCTATAAAGCATTCTCCTTTTGTGAATTGGCCACGTTCTCTTGACTGAGAATTTGAACTCGGTGAAAAAGAGGGAAGTACCAGTTAGTTGTGGGGAGTGGAGCTGTGAACTCATGCTATAGGTCATGGCTGGTGGCTGTGCTGGGTTGGGTGTAAGATAAGTAAAGCAGAGGAAAAAGAGAGGCCCGGCAGCAGAAAGCAGCAAGAATGAGAGAGCCTATGTGGTTTTTGGGAAGTGGAGAGAGTGGCTTTGGTTCCTGAGAGCCTTCAGGTTCCTGTGGACTGGCTGTGCTTTCTGACTTGGGTTCCACAAGATTCCTTCCACCAAGTCATCACAGTATTGCCCCCTCCATTTCTTTGAACTAGTTTAATGGGTTTCTGTTTCTTATAACCCAAAGAGCATTGATTAAAACAATGTTTATCTCCCCATCTAGACTGTTTCTTGAGGTTGGTGACTATTCACTCTTATCTGTATCACCAGAATATTATTCAATGCATATAAGGCACTTAAAATATGCTTGTTGAATGAATGATGGAGTCTTTGGGTGCAAAGGGTTAAGCACTCGACTACTAACCATGAAGGTTGGCAGTTCCAACCCACCCAGGGGCACCTTGGAAGAAACACCTGGAAATCTGCTTCTGAAAGGTCACATCCTTGAAAACCCTGTAGAACGTAGCTCTACTCTGCAACACACGCGGTTGCCATGAGTTGGAGTTGGCTTGATGGTAACCAGTTTGGTAGTTTGGTCTGTTATAATTAATACAAGGTGATGTTTTCCTAGCTCGAATCCTTCCTCACTGTGCCTTTCTAAGACAAAACACTCCTTCCCTTTTAATCATCACAACCCCACTACCTATGTCCTCCAGTTTCCTCAAGTTCAGGTTTTGACAGGTAGCATTTCCCCGGAAGTGATGAAGTACTTTTGCTTAAAAAAAAAGACGAAATGAAAAACCAGGTTTGGCACGTTTGCATCTGAGTGTAATAGGAGACGACACCTTCACCTCAATCACATTTGCTCAAGAAGAAATCCAGGGTGGCCTTTTGGACCTTTCACTGAAGAAACATGGGGAGAAGCAAGCTTTATATTTAGAGAGATATAAGTATAGCTTTTATTTTTTTTTAAAACCAACCCAACATTTCCACTGGCAACTGTCAACATAACTTATGACATGAGCGCTGTTTCTTTTTTAGTTATTTTTTTCTTAAAAAAATGTGTTTAAAATTAAACAGGTTCTTTTTAATTTCTTTTTTCCCCCCTTAAAAAATGTATTCCTGTCAATGCATAAAGCCTAAAGATCTGTGGACAGTTCTGTGGTGATTTTGTATCTGTGTTTATTCGTGTGTGTGCGTGTGTGTGTGTTTTAAAGCCAGGTCCTCTCAAAATTTATTGACAAGAGGTCTGTAGGACATGGCAATCCTTTTCCTATAAACCCGGGCTCCATGTTATTATGGCAACCAAGACTCTTCTTATTGTTGGGTCAAGAAATACCCCACAGGCTGGAAAACAAGATTTATGAGATTTAAAAACCAGCAGGAACGTGGGTGAAATGAAGAATTCCAGTTCCTATCCTGTGAAAATGCTTTCCAACGTGACCTGAGGGTCCAAGAGAGGTGGAAGAACCCCTTCTTTTCTTCTAAGCTTCTAAGTTTTTGAATTACTTCAAGAAATGTAGTCAGCCCTCTCAGTACAAAGCATTAGGAAGTGAGGGGGTGGTGAAGCTAACATTTCTCAGAATCACTGACATTTTAAATATAATCTTTCCCCTTAAAGAACTTATTAGTTGGACATCTCTTCTCTCTTGCCTCAGACACAAAGCCAAAGATACTCAAGAAGGCGTAGATCTCTACTGCTCTCCCAGCTGCCCTTGCTCATCATATACCATTCCAATTTCTGCCCCACATTTTCTACTTGGTGGGTCTTCCTACAGGATAAACATATAGACATGGACACAGTGAGGCACACAGAATTTGCAAGGCTTGGGCAGAGAAGAGGACAACACTTCGTGTTCGTTGACTTGATTTCAGCGAAGGCATATAAAGCTCCTCCTGCTCCGGCCGTTCTTTTGTGCCCCCCTACCCACTACCCCATGGCTGTGCAGACTTCCTCCCATCCAAATGCCATCTATCCTCCAAGGAAGTCAGAAAAAAGAGGACCTGGGGGCAGGATCTTAATGAAGTTGAGACAGCTGTTGCCCAGTGAGAGTGAGAGGGTGTGGGTCTAAAACTTTCTGCCTCTATCTGTCAGCTCAGCTCTCACCTTCCTCCATGCCACCTTTGTCACTAACTTCAGAAAAAAAAGACAAGACAGGACAAAACAAAACAACAATAAACAAAACCTGATGGAAAATGAAAGCAGCCACAATAATGATTACAAAACAAAGAGAACCCCAAGCCAGCCACATGGCCATGCCTCATTTCCATACCTCGCCAGCGGAGTGAGAGAAGAGTGACATAACAAATTAGACAGACAGGAGACCCCTAGGAAACTAGAAGCAAAGGAAGAACAAGAATAAAGTGGAATAGAAGGTGGTGAAAGGGTCTGACCTTTGCAATGGGCTGGGGACATGGGTGGGAAGGTAGAGTGGAGGTGGATTTGTTGCTATTGTTGGTTTGTACTTCATTAAATACTTTGTAAAGTGGGTGTTTCTTCCATTCTGTTTGCTTGATTAAGACTTTGCGCTTTCAGTTCACTGCCAGGGCCTAGGTCAGGTGAAGCTCCGGGGCACAGGTCCTGATGCTGCCTCTCCAGGCTGTTCACCCTGAAGAGGTCACTGGTGGGGAGGTGCCCTTCTTTTAAGAGAAGTCCTAGGCCTGCCCCGCTCAAGGCCTTGTTCTGTGGCTCAGAACCCCTTTATGTAGCAATAGGCCTCTAGCGTGGCAAAGAGTATATAGAGAAGCCACAGGCTCACAAAGAGCCAAGTCGTGGCCAGCTTGCAGCTGCGAGGACCACCCAGCTCCCCGCCCAGGTGGGGCCGCCGCCGGTACAAGAGCACGCTGATGCAAACAAACGCAAAGATGGTGAAGAGGGTGACAGAGAAGGCCAGTGTGCCAGCTGACACGTGGAACTCCTGTCCCTGCAGGGCCCAGTAGATGGCGGCCACGGACCAGGCCAGGCCAATGCCGAGGAAGACGTTGACAGCGTTGCTGCCTGTGACGTTGCCAATGGAGGCATCTGCATACACATCCTGGATGGCGGCTGCTTTGCTGGCAAACGTATCTGGAAAAGAGCAAAGACAAATGGGAGCTGGCGAGAGGGTGAGAGGTGGAGAGAGGTAGGTCATGCCCAGGGAGAACCTATCTTTGAGTATGCTCAAGAGGCAGCTTGGGCCAGTGGATAGGGACCAGGAGTGAGAGGCAGGGGCTTAAGTGTTAGTGGCCTTGGGCAAGTCACTTCACTGCTCTGGGCTTCTGGTTCCTCATCTGCAGGAGACTGGAAGACTCCGAAGGGCTTTTCCAATTCTGATAGTTACCCTAGTAGGCTCATTATTACCTTTTGACTATTTTCTCAGTAAGGGAGAAAACCCATACTATCTCCCCTGGGAGCCTTGACACCCTGGGAAGCTGCTTAGGGAAGATGCCTGATGGTAACTGCCATACGGGGCATTTACTCATGTAACACAGACGGTGATTGAGCAATGCTGTGCTAGGTGCTGGATTTACGGGGACAGAGGACATGCTGGGGAGCCCAGGCTTTCTGTCAGGGTGGGCTATGCACTCAAGGAAGGTGGGGTTCTGCCTTGGCAGTTCTTATATGGATCACAGGGCCTTATAGGATGTTTGACTTGAGATGTTGGCACAAATCTAAGTAAAGACTATAAAGGCCAAAGAATATACCCAAGGTCACATAGGAAGTTAACCAGAGACTTGGCTCTACAATCTCATGTAAAGGCCCTTTCCATACCATTACCCTATATCCAAAGACTTTATTCAAACCAACCGAGTGGACCATAGCACAGCCTTCCCAAAGCCCCTAATGCTGTCAGCTGCTCTCTGGCCCAAGTGGAAGGACTTGGAAGTGCCCCAAGATATCTCCCTGCCAGGCTTGTCCTGGCTTGCCTCATCGTTGCCAATTTTCCCAGCTCTCCCAGAGAAAACTTCTCCCCTTCTTGCCTATGATTTGCTTCTTTGCCTCTGATCCTCTGCTATTTCTCCCCATGTCAGCTCCTTCTTCTCAATCCACCCCTTCCTCTCTAACAGTTCAGTTCCCTCAAGGCCTAGAGAGCAGAGACCACAGGGCATCAACTCTGCAAAATCTTCCCTGGTTCACCCATCTAATATCCTATCACCCAGTGCATTTCTGTGATAGCCAGACCTCTTGCATCACTAGTGTACAAATAATCCACTGATTTGTTCTGGGGTTTTAGGAGGAAGTTTTCCTAGAGTGTGATGTAGATTCAGTTACTCTCCAGAGAAGATGTTTTCTTGGTATAGTATGGGTTTCCCTTGGTCCAGGCTACATGAGTCTTGTCTGATGAGATTCAGCCTAACCTACCTGTGAGGATGCCTTTTTTTTCTTCCTAGGGCCATTGGGATGCCAGTTTCCTGGCAGAAGTTCAGGGTGCAGAGACCCTGGAGACCCTGAGTGAGTTAAGCAGGGGCCTGAGCTCATGTAGCTCCTCATCACCTTCTAACTTCTACTCATCTTCAGGCCCAACTTACAGGTATCTTCCCTTGGAAGCCATTCCTGGCTCCAGACTACTCCAGGCCCCTCTGTGTTATATTTGCCCAGCACCAGCACTTTTTCCTTCATAGAATTCACCGAGATAATTTTAACTATAGTGGTTGAGTGTAGTCTCCTCCACTAGATTATGAACTCCATATGGAGAGGGAAGCATGTCTGTCTGCCTCCCATTACATCCCCAGCAGCTAGCACAATACGGTATCAGGCATAAGAGGTGCTTAATCAATATTTGTCTAATGAATGAATAAATGAATGCTTACTCCTATTTGTCTCTGAGTGTTTATAAGAAAAAAGAAAAGAGTGTGTAATCCATCATATGGAAGGACAAGAGCTCGCTAATCTTCCTTTGTTCTGCTAGGAGACACTCTGTACTTAGAGGTGTCCTTCCAAGCAGAGGAGGCCAGGAATCCTTGTGGGCACTTCTACTGTGACATCTTCAGTCTAGTTTTCAGTCTCTCAGAGACTGACTGCCAGGGGGAAAAGGAGGGAGAACAACATGTATATGCTTTGAATTCCATTATTTCTGGCCTATTCACATAATGTAGAGGTTATGAAAATGGGTCATTTCTGTGGGTCTCAGTTTCCTCATATATCAAATGAGGATAACAATCTTCCATATTTAATACGGTTTTGGTGAGAATTATATGGTACAAAACATGTAAATTGCTTAGCATATATAGTGCCTGGCACTTTGAAAATAATCAGCAAGTATTGGCTATCATTATTAATATTATCATTAACTCCTTTGATAGACTGTTGTGCACTTTAAAGGCAGAGGCTTTGTTAAGTTTAGATCTGAGATGGTGAGGAAGATAATGAGGCAGAGTGTACGGGTCATCTGAACCAGGTAATACCCTTTTTACAAACCCAACACCCCTCACTCTCACCTGGCACAGAGGTGCCAAATGCCACAAAAACAACAGCCGTGACGGAATCCTTGAGGCCAATGGTGCAGCCAAAGTGGGAGGCCAGGTCCCCGATTATGGCGGTGAGCATGCCGATGATGAGGATGGAGACTACAAAGCAGGCCCAGCCATGGCAGTACTCTGTAGGGGGCACGCAGGCAAATAGCACCTTCCAGAAGACCGTCAAGAAATGCATGACATAGTCAAAGCAGGACGGCAGTCTCTCTTCGCCTGATTCATCCTCATCCTCATCCCCTGCTGGAGGCAAGACAAACAGGCCCAGGACAGGGCATGGAGGTCAGATCCTCATTCCTGAGAATAGTCACATCCAACCTGCATCACAGACATCATCAGCTGGAAGGGTGACTCCAGCTTTGTTTTGGGCAGCTGATGAGGCCCAGGGCATGAGCACCAGAAAATAGATGGGAAATGGGGAATGAGTTGAGTTGGCCTCATTGATCAGTTTAAATTCAGAGCACCAAGGGATAGTGGGAAAGAAGGGATAGAGAGAATAAGGAAGAAAAGAGATTAAGAGATAAAGTGGGGACGAACTCTTACAACTCAACAACAAAAAGATAAACAACCCAATTAAAATTTGAGCAGAGGACTTGAATAGATGTTTCTCCAAAAAAAGATATACAAATGGTCAATAAGCACATGAAGAGATGCTCAAGGTCATTCATTAGTCATCACACCACAACGAAATACCACTTCACACCCACTAGAATGGTTATTATTAAACAAAGGAAGATACCAACTATTGGTAAGGATATGGAGAAATTGGAACTTTCATCCATTGTTGGTGGGAATGTAAAATGGTGCAGCCGCTGCGGGAAACCGTTTGGTGATTCCTCAAAAAGTTAAACATAGAATTACCATCCCCATTATATATACCCATTGCTGTCAAGTCGATTCCAACTCATAGTGACCCTATAGGACAGAGCAGAACTGCCCCATAGGGTTTCCAAGGAGTGGCTGGTGGATTCGAACTGCTGACCTTTTGGTTAGTAGCCACAGTTCTTAACCACTGTGCCACCAGGGCTCCCTAGAATTACCCTATGATCCAGCAATTCCACTCCTAAGTTTATACCCAAAAGCTTTGAAAGCAGGGACTCAAACAGATACGTGCACACCAATGTTCATTGCAGCATTATTCATAATAGCCAAAAGGTGGAAACAACCCAAGTGTCCATCAGCAGATGAATGGATAAACAAAATGCGGTATATACATACAATGGAATATTATTCAGTCATGAAGAGAAAGGAGGTTCTTATACATCCTATAATATGGATGAACTTTAAAAACACTTTAATGAGTAAAATAAGTTAGACACAAAAAGACAAATATTGTATCATCCCATTTATATGAAACAATCCATAAAAAAATTCTTTGCTGTTGAGTTGATTCCAAATCATAGCGGCCCTATAGGACAGAGTAGAACTGCCTCACAAGGTTTCCATGACTGTAATCTTTATGGAAGCAGACTGCCACATCTTTCTTCCGGTGGGTTCAAACTGCCGACCTTTCGGTTAGCAGCTGAGTGCTTAACCACCACACCACCAAAGATTCTTTATGAAACATCTAGGATAGGTAAATGCATAGAGACAAAAGCTTATTAGTAGTTACCAAGGGCTAGAGGGAAGGGGAGTGGGGAGTTACTGCTTAAGGGATACTGCGTTTCTCTTTGGGGTGATGAAAAAGTTTTAGAAATAGATAGTGGTGACGGTCGCACAACATGATGAATATAATTAATATCATTGAATTGTACATTTAAAAATGGTTAAAATGGCAAATTTTACATTATATATATTTTATCACAATAAAATTAAAAAGAAACAGGGAGGGAGAGTTTAGAGGGACAGGCAGTGGTGAAGAAAGGCAGCTGGAGCAGGTGGAATCTGGTTGCCTAGGTGAAGAAAAGCACAACCGGCTCTGCATGTCCACTCTTCACTGGGCGCCAACGGGGCTTTTCTCTGGTTCTCCAACCTCACTGCTACAGTATCCACCTTGGTTCTGGTGGATTCTTCATCCCCAGAGGGATGGCTGGCATTCAGATCATGCAGGCACACTAGGGAGCCAGTGCCATCCTCCAAATATCCAACGGGCAGAGCGGGAAGGATCCCTGCTAGTCCTTGCCAGGAAATTTGGGCAGAGTTGTCTGGTCAGTAGTCCAGGGAGAGAGGATGTGCTGAGGCCTGCTTGTGCTTTGTCAAGGGCAACCTCTGTAATATTTGGGCATTATCAGTGGAAGCTGGGTTTCCAAAGAGCAGGAGTCAGGACAATTGGGTTCTAACTCCAGCTTTGCCATGAAGAAAATCTGTACCCTGGGGTAAATTACCTCTTGCTTCTGAACCTCAGTTCCTTCATTTGTAAAAGGAGGGGGTAGATTATGTGGCCTACATTCTGTTTATTGTATCTTTAGGGGCAAAGTAACGTCATCAGAGGGGAAAGCTGTGAGGATCCAAAGCAGGCAATGTGAAAAGTGGGGCATTAGCAGAAGCAGCAGCAGCAAGCCTCTCTTCCTGGCTGTACTTTTGCTCTGGCTCCAGGGTGTCAGGGATATGACCCCGTGGGTTGCTATGACAACAAAACCTTATGCAAAAGACCAGGAGCACTCTCTGTTTGCCCTTTGCTGAGGCAGGACAAGGTGGGTTGGTAGTGTGGAAAGGTAATACTGGTGTGGGGAGACCCTTTCCATCCCCATTCCTACACATCTATGGGACTCCAGGGTTCCCGGCTGTGCTGTGAATCACCACAGAGGGGACCTGTCACATGCCAAAGGAGAGGTTTGGAATCATCCAGTTGAGTGGTTTTTCAGAGAGGCAGCTCCAAGCATTTTAGAAACTCCTGATCCCTACAGCTGTAAATCAGGATTGCCCCCATTTTACAGAAAAGGGGGGACTAAATTAATGAGAGAAAGGAATGATGGAAGCCAGAATTTACTGAGTATTTATTTGGTATCTGTTATGGATTGAATTCCACCACACACGTCTGTCAGTTTATCATACTCTGGTGATTTGTGTGTTGCTGTGATGTTGGAAGCTATGCCACCAGTATTTCAAATAGCAGCAGGGTCACCCATAGTGGACAGGTTTCAGCTGAGCTTCCAGACTAAGATAGCCTAGGAAGAAGGACCTGGCGATCTACTTCTAAGAAAGCTGTCCAGTGAAAATCTTAAGAATAGCAGCGGAACATTGTCTGATATAATGCCGGAAGATGAGCCCCTCAGGTTGGAAAGCGCTCAAAATATGACTGGGGAAGAGCTGCCTACTCAAAGTAGAGCCAACCTTAATGATGTGGATGGAGTAAAGCTTTTGAGAATTTCATTTGCTGATGTGGCATGACTCAAATTGAGAAGAAACCGCTGCAACCATCCATTAAAAATCAGAACATACAATGTATGAAGTATGAATCTAGGGAAATTGGAAGTTATCAAAAATGAACTAGAATGCTTGAAGATCGATATCCTAGGCATTAGTGAGCTGAAATGGATTGGTATTGGTCATTTTGAATCAGACAATCGTATGGTATACTATGCCAGGAATGACAAATTGAAGAGGAACAGCATCACATTCATTGTCTGAAAGAACGTTTCAAGATCTATCCTGAAGTACAACGCTGTCAGTGATAGGATAATACCCATACGCCTGCAAAGAAGACCAGATAATATGACTATTTTTCAAATTTACACACCAACCACTAATGCCAAAGATGATGAAATTGAAGATTTTTACCAACTTCTGAAGTCTGAAATTGATCAAACATGCAATCAAGATGCATTGAAAATTGCTGGTGATTGGAATGCAAAAGTTGGAAGCAAGAAGAAGGAGTGCTAGTTGGAAAATATGGCCTTGGTGACAGAAATGATGCTGGAGACTGCATAATAGAATTTTTTAAGATCAATGATCTATTAATAGGAAATACCTATTTTCAACAATGTAAACGGCAACTATACACATTGACATTGCCAGATGGAATACACAGGAATCGTATCAACTACATCTGTGGAAAGAGATGATGGAGAAGCTCAATATCATCAGTCACAAGGCCAGGGGCCAAGTGAGAAACAGACCATCAATTTCTCACATGCAAGTTCAAGTTGAAGCTGAAGAAAATTAAAACAAGTTCACGAGAGCTGAAGTATAACCTTGAGCATATCCCACCTGAATTTAGAGACTGTCTCAAGAATAGATTTGACACACTGAACACTAATGACTGAAGACCAGATGAGTTGTGGAATGACACGAAGGACATCACACATGAAGAAAGCAAAAGGTCATTAAGAAGACTGGAAAGAAAGAAAAGACCAAAATGGATGTCAAAAGAGACTCTGAAACTTGCTGTTGAACACAGAGTAGCTAAAGCAAATGAAAGAAATGATGAAGTAAAAGAGTTGAACAGAATATTTCAAAGGGTGGCTCGAGAGGACAAAGTGAATTATTATAATAAAATGCGCAAAGACCTGGAGTTAGAAAACTAAAAGTGAAGCACATGCTCGGCATTTCTCAAGCTGAAAAAGCTGAAGAAAAAATTCAAGCCTCAAGTTGCAATACTGAAGGACTGTATGGGTAAAATATTGAACGACACAGGAATCATCAAAAGAAGATAAAAGGAATACACAGAGTCACTGTACCAAAAAGAATTGGCTGATGTTCAACCACTTTAAACCCGTTGCCGTCGAGTTGATTCTGACTCACAGTGACCCTATAGAAGGTAGCATATGATCAAGAACCAATGGTATTGAAGGAAGAAGTCCAAGCTGCACTGAAGACTTTGGCAAAAAACAAGGCTCCAGGAATTGACAGAATACCAACTGAGATGTTTCAACAAACGGATGCAGCACTGGAAGTGCTCACTTGTCTATGCCAAGAAATTTGGAAGACAGGTACCGGCCAACCAACTGGAAGAGATCCGTATTTGTGCCCATTCCAAAGAAAGATGATCCAACAGAATGCGGAAATTATCAAACAATATCATTACTATCACACACAAGTTAAAATTTTGATGAAGATAATTCAGAAATGGTTGCAGCAGTACATCGACAGGGAGCGCCAGAAATTCAGGCCAGATTCAGAAGAGGATGTGGAACGAAGGATATCATTTTGATGTCAGATGGATCTTGGCTGAAAGCAGAGAATACCAGAAAGATGTTTACCTGTGTTTTATTGACTATGCAAAGGCATTCGACTGTGTGGATTATAACAAATTATGGACAACATTACGAAGAATAAGAATTCCAGAACACTTATTTGTGCTCATGTAGAACTTATACACAAACCAAGAGGAAGTCGTTCGAACAGAACAAGGGGATACTGTGTGGTTTAAAATCAGGAAATGTGTGCGTCAGGGTTGTATGCTTTCACTATACTTATTTAATCTGTATGCTGAGCAAATAATTCAAGAAACTGGACTATATGAAGAACAACTTGACATCAGGATTAGAGGAAGCCTCACTAACAACCTGTAATATGCAGATGACACAACTTTCCTTGCTGAATGTGAAGAGTGCTTACTTATGAAGATCAAAGACTACAGCCTTCAGTGTGGATTACCTCTCAACATAAAGAAAACAAAAATCCTCACAACTGGACCAATAAGTAACATCATGATCAACGGAGAAAATATTGACGTTGTCAAGGATTTCATTTTGCTTGGATCCACAATCAATGTCGGACCCAAGCCATGGTGTTTTCAATCACCTCATATGCATGCAAAAGCTGGAGGATGAATAAGGAATACTGAAGAAGGACTGATGACTTTAAATTGTGGTGTTGGCAAAGAATATTGAGTATACCATGGACTGCCAAAAGAATGAACAAATCTGTCTTAGAAGAAGTACAACCAGGATGCTCCTTAGAAGCAAAGATGGCTAGATTATGTCTCACATACTTTGGACATGTTATCAGCAGGGATCAGTTCCTGGAGATGGACATCATGCTTGGTAAAGTAGAAGATCATAGAAAAAGAAGAAGAACCTTAATGAGACGGATTGACACAGTGGCTGCAACAATGGGCTCAAACAGCAATGATTGTGAGGATGGGGCAGGACTGGGCAGTGTTTCGTTTTGTTGTACGTAGGGTCACTATGAGTCAGAACTGACTTGAAGGCACCTAACAACAACAACAACAACATAGAGTGAATTGTGTCCCCCCAAAAATATGTGTTGGAATCTTAACTCCTATACCTGTAGATGTAATCCCATTTGGGAATAGGGTTTTCTTTGTCATGTTAAAGAAGCCACATCAGTGTAGGGTGTGTCTTAAACCTAATGACTTTTGACATATAAAAAGAGCATATTAGACAGAGAGTGAAGAAAGCACAAATGGGGGAAAGATAGATGTCACATGGAGACCAGCAACGAACTGCAAAACACCAGGGTTACAGAAGCTGAGACAAGAATCTTCCCCAGGGTCCACAGAGAGAAAGGCTTCCCCTAGAGTTGGTGCCCTGAATTTGGACTTCTAGCCTCCTGAACTATGAGAAAATAAATTTCTCTTCTCTAAAACCACCCACTTGTGGTATTTCTTTTATAACAGCTCTAAGAAACTAAGACAGTACCAGATTCTGTTTAACGTAATACCTTACTGAGAAAGGTAGTAGTAGTCCCCTTTTTGGATGAAGAAATTGAGGCTCAGGGATGTTAACTTATACAAGTTCACACAGAAGAACCAGAATTTGAAATCAGAGGTAGATAGACATCAACTCTAAAATCCGCATTCTTTTAGTTACACCACGATTCTTTTCCAAGGTGACCCAGTGAAAGAGGTAAACATTTAGGACTAGAGCTGCGAAGACTGGATACATAGGCCTTCCCCAAAATAGCACTTTCCTATTGATGTGGGCTGTGCTCTTCCTTCTCAGGTGTTGCCTGCTTCCCCCACCAAGGTTTGTATCCATCTTGAGACCATTCTTACCTGCACTGACAGTGATGGCCTCCATGAACTGGTCCCTCCAGGAATGAGTTCCCACAACCATGGCTAGATTTGTCTTCTTGATCAGTTTGTCCACCGTACTCTGCCAGGGAGAGAAAACTTGGAACCATGAGGTTAGAATGTTCAGAACCACTGAGGAATGCTGTGCTTCATGGGAATAAAAGACACCCTGCATTCCAAGGGCTCCACATGGGTTCTGAAAGTTATGCATGGAATGGTCTTGGGTAATATTTTATGAGACAATATTGCTATTTACCTTTTCTTTGGTTTTAATTTTGGACATTGGATTATTTGGAGTAATACAATAGTGATATCAATAATGATATCAATAAATCTTGCCCTGTAGTAGTGGGTTTTAGTATCTTTGATTTAAAAATATATTTAAACGATAGTGATGATACAGCTAGGGATTTTCTAGACCATTTGTTCCATATTCTATATTATGTTTCCTTCCAACATTCCTAGGAAGCATAAATGGCCAGCACTATTCACTGCATGTTACAAATGAGAAACTGAGGCCCAGGGTAGGTAAGTGGTTTGTTCAGTTTCAACTTCACATATTCAGTGCTAAAAATGGAACAAAACCCCAGGTCCTCTGCGTCTCTCCCATTACTCTACTCTTCAATTAGACCTCACTGATGGCCTGACCTTGAACTCATAGGACTCTTCGATGATGACCTCTAGTTTGGGGTGTTCACCCAGTATTGGCTTTCCCATCTCTGCTATTCTCTTGGCCTCCTCTTCATCCACGGTCAGCTTCCTGTCTGTCACCTCTGCAACAAAACAAAAGTCAGACTATCTTTAGCATACTCTCCATTCCCCAGAAGTCTATACCTCAGAGTACTGTGTGTGGGCACTGGGTACAAAGTAAATAGCATTTGGGAATGGGAATTCTGTGTATATTTTAGTGCCTCTTTCCATGAACTGCTGAGCACTTTAAGACCATCCAACCATGACAGTGTTCCTTGCAGGCCTGGGATAAGCATTCCTCTTTCTATTTTATAATTAGGTGGGCAACCTGACCCAAAGGTCTTCCAATAAATAGCACCAAGTGAAGTCCCCGAGTCATTTGGTGTGATGTTGGGGAAGTTGGGGACAAAATTAAAATATTTTTGCCTTTAACTATTTTAAACCATTGGGCTTGACTGTTTGTTCAACTGCTTAATGTAACAGTTCTTGGTAGGAAGTAGAGAAGCACATTTAATCCAAAGAGAATATCTATTGATTCACATTAACATCTGTTTTCAACACTGTTGGCACAATCCCATCTATGAAGGAGAAAGAGAAGGGATGTTTCCAGAAACATCTACATTTCATACATGTATTATCCTCACAATGAGAAATTTGGAAGGATTCCCAAAAAACTTCATGGTTCTCCAGTGAAAGACACACAGGTTTTCTATAGGAATCAGGCACATTTCCTCTGGAACACAAATACTTGCTCAAAAACAAAGCAGAATAAAGTTCTTCCTTTACTTTCTTTTGAGACATTCCCTGTGTCCCTCAGCATCTTGATTCATTTACCAGTGGCGCCTTCTCATATTGAATAGTTATAGAATTTTTCTCCTTCAGCTGGTGAGTCCATTTTAAGACCACTTCACCATGAAGACATGTTTTCTGGATTAGAATGAAATAGACATTGAATCTTTTTATTCCCCTTTGATTAGAAAATTACTCTTGGCAGCCTGTTTCTTTCAGAGCTCATTTAAACATCTTCCCATCCAAGTCCACATTCTCACATGCAATTAATTCTTTTATTTGGCTCTTTAATTGCTTTCATTTCACACAGTGAATCTCCCAGGGGATTCCTCTATTCCTTGGATAATCTCAAGAACAGAATGGATCAGAGGCCAAGATCTTCTTTTCTCTCTAGCTTGGGAATTGGTGAAGCAAGAGGAGGGGTGAGACTTGGGCACTTGAGGTTGCAAGGGAAACAATTCACTGAAAAGACTATAAGCCAAGGGTGTAAGTTACCAATCAGATAACCTTATATTTAACGTAAGAATTTTCTCAGTTGGTCTGAATGAAGATGGTAAGAGACTGTGTGGAAGAATCCCAAGCTGGCTGTTTCACTCAGTGTTTCTGGCACCAAACAAGGTAATTCAAAAATTCATGGGAGCTGTCTGTGGTGCTGTCCTCCGTTTAGTGCTGGCAACCACTTTCAGAAAAATACATTGTTTCTCAAGGATCTATGCCCTTCTGTATATTTCCAAGTCAGAAGACACACTGTCAGCCTGACTTCATTTAATCCACGGAATCTGAGTGTTTGATTAGTTAGTTATGAAGATAAGTCCAGATGTATCCAGGGTTTGGCTATGACACCAGGTATCCTAGAAGCCAGGCTATAAGCCACTCTGAGAAAAAGCATTTGGGAAAAACATACAGGTTCCTTAAAAGCATGCGAACTCTTGTCCTCTCATTGCAGGTTTGGCATCATCTCACAATCCCTATCCTCACAGTGACAGCATTATTCCATTCCTCCCTCCCTAATCCCCCATGTCATACTTTACATGTGCCACAAGAACCTTGTATCACTGTGATGAGCTCTCCAGTGACATATAAATGTACATGTCTAACCCCTTGTCTAGTTATCAGTCTAGCACTATATCCATCTGGCTGGATATTGATCTACCTATTGACCTGTCCACCTCTGTGTTGACAGTCAGTTTTCCCAACTTTCTGAAAAAATCTATTTGACAAATAACCAATCCTATATTTTTAGATCTCCCACAGCCCCACAGAGATACTCCATATATATTTGTTAAATGATTGATTCACATGCCTTTAAAGCAACTCTGATTTAGCGTCTTGGTTTGGCAATAATTTCTTCCTCTTTTCTATTTTTGTAGTGGTCTTTCCTTCAAATTCAAATTAAGTTAGTTTGTTGAGAGAATGATACGTGTCAAACCTTTAAGACAATAGTGATACTTATCATTAGTTTATCTGACTCTTCAGAATTTCAAGTAAAGAGAATAAATGACAGGTGATCTCAGGTGATTTAGATATTCAGATTGATGTTGGACAGCACGAAGCAAGCTCTCGGATATAGAAATGGGGGGGAAGAGAGCGAAAAAAAAATCAGAATATAAACTAATTAGTAAGATGGCAGATTGAACAAATATTGGAAGAACAAAGAGCTTGCTAGGCCAGACTAGAAAGGTTATCATGAATGTTCCACAGGCATCCTCAGAGAGAAGTTGGATGATGTAGCCAGAGTCCTCATTCCAAAGCCTCTGAGCTTGTTGGTGTAGCTCATAATGAACATATTTACTCTCCATCTCTCACCACCAGGCATTGTTCATCATCTTTGCTTGTACACCCAGGAAAACTAGAACAAGACTCTGAGACGTCCAACGAATTTAAGGCCTAATCAAGAGCTCCTAAATTAAAGGTTTACAGATTGAAAGATCTAGGAAAACACACCTTCTTTTCTAATTTTAGTTTGCACTGGTATTTGTGCAAATATTAAAAGTATAAAGAAGCTTAAATTAAATCAGAATCTTTGTTGCAGGTATATGTGTGTGGTTGGTGGAGGACAGAGGTAAAAGCTGGAACAAAGAAGCCTAAATGCTATCTCAGGCAAGAGAATGACTGAAGTGGAGAGGGAAGACCCAATGCTATTAAATCAAAATTCTAGGGCAATTGTGGAATATATGGGGTCACAGGTAGCCATTATCCTGTTGGTTTAAAAGGGAATCAAAGGGTCAAGGAAGCTGGAGTAATTTTTTTTTTTTTGGAAAAGGGAAATAGAAGGTTACCTACATTTTTTTAATTTAAGGCTGCAAGGAGGCAAATGTACTTACTATATACACTGCCCCTCCCTAAACCCAGGATGTAGCCTGTAGGTGACTCTGAATACCAATGAACTCTGTAAGATGTTTGGCCTCTTAAAAGACCTTAATATTTTTCTATTTTCAAAGAATAATGAAATATAAGGCATTCTTTTAAAATATACTGAAAAGTCTTGGATAGCCCACTCAGCTATAGTTATAGTATTGCTGGACATGCTGGGAATGATTTCCTGTCTGCTCACAAAGTTGGATGTTGTTTATGATTGGATTCCACTCATGGAAGTGCACTCCAGAAGTACGTGTGTGTCCTACACAGGATCTAGATTCTGCATGAGGATTTATTCAAAATAAATTCCCTAGAATTTCTATTTCCAGCCAGAACACTGTCCTTACCACCATAACATTCTAATTCTTATTGTTCATGGCACATGTGGCTTCAAGGGTCAATGATGAATGAACCAAAATTCTTAGCAATTTAGCTCTTAGCTGTGATAAGATGGAAGATCTCTGGGATCAGTAAAATTCCAGATTCTTTGAAAATTGCTTTTCAGGTTCTCATAGCAGCTCTTTGATCCCTTGGGATCAAAGTATTTTCTTCCAGATCTCCTATTAGGAGATTCTAGCTCTGACTCTCATCCTCTCTTCCCCCACAACATGAGATGATGGATGAATAGTTTCTTCACCAGGAGAAGTCTGTGATCACCATCTCTTTGATAAGTTTAATTTTTCTTCCTTGTCCCAGAGAGGACCAGCTATGACTTAACCGCATCTACTGACAGAAACGGTGCTCTAGGAATTGTCTACTGCTCATGATTATTTAAAAGTGGGGAAACAAAACCCAGTCTTTAGGAGAACTTGTCAGGTTAACTTGAGCCTGCAGTTCCTATTAAATCAATCAAAGAAAATTGGTCTTAAACCAAATAATGGCACTGGCAAGAAGTGGAAAAGAGGGGCGAGACACCTCTTACCTGGAGACAACAGGAGTGCTGTTTGTAAATGGATACCAGACAAGGGGAAGAAAGAAAAGGAAAGAGCGTTAAGGTCTAATCTTAAAAGTGTCCCCAGATTTTGTGGTTGCTGGCAGCATAAGGAAAGCAGTGAGCTTAGTAGTTGAGAGCTCTGCAGCCACATGCAAAAGGCAGCATTTGGAGCATGCACAGCAGCAGCAGCAAGAGGCGCAAGTTGCTGGAGAGGGTGCCGTGCACCAGGGCCTTGCAATTATGAGCGCTTTCTCCACACCTTCCCTGTAACCCTAGGTTTAAGGAAGGAGGGCTGAGGATAGGGGAACCAAGTGGGTGAGCATTTGTGATCTTCTAGGGGATCAGGTCAACACATCTATTCTGTAAAGAAGGAGCAAAAATCCATTTACCATGACAACTGTATAAGTTGCAATCCTGCCACAGTAGCTGGCTTGTTGGTGGTGAATATGACCCTGGGTCTTGAATGGGAACTCATAGCACTGGGTGGTGGTATGAAAGAGTGGAAGAGTGCCCAGTTCCATGTCTTCTATTTCTAACGTCATAGTCAGATCATGTCAGCTGCCCAGTGCCCATAAGGTTTCCATAGCCATGATTGGCTTCCTAGAGAACATGCTGGCCAGAACTTTTATTTCCTCTAAAAAAAAAATGAACTAGTGAAAAAGAAGCCCTACAGAATTTTTTTCATGAATGGTTTATCTTTTTACAGATATATCCTGGAGGTCAGGGACCATGAATTCATAAAATTTTGTGTCACCAGTGTTTAACAAAGTGCCTGCACTTAGCAGGTGTTCAATAAAGATTTGTTGTTTGTTGCCTATTTTGGCAATTGTCTTTTCCATACATCTTATGAAGCTGCATCTCTGAATGGTAGTCTTTTTGTTCCAAAAAGGGCAGAATAAATCAGAGTCTAGATATTATGGACCAGATAGACTGTCATACTGAAAGATATACATAGATGGGAGAAGACATATGCAAGATCCCTATACGGACTGGGAAGTTGAGTGAAAGAAGTACCCAACATAGGTTGTACCCCCCTCCCATTTTCCCCCGAACTCCTGAATTTGTACTTACAATAAACTCTTTCGGACTTCAAGATCCAAAATTCAAAATTTCTTGCGACACACCACATTATTCTTTTGATAGTATCTTATACTGCCCTTCACTTCTTGGCTCTTATCAGATAAAGGTCTGGGAACATGCTGCCATATATTACTAGTGCAGCTGGTGACTGACAGAGATTGCTGAGGAAGGCAGGGTGTGTGTGAACGGTTTCTTCTAAGATTCTCTAGGAATGCAACTCAGATCTGTGAACCATAGCCTCAAATTCACAGCCACTAAAGACACACATGGATCCAGAATTTGTATAGTATATAAGCAGGGAGAACAAGGGTTGACTTTTTCTGGTATCTCCTATCTAGATTTCCAAGGAGGATAAAGGAGCAATGGATCTCCTCACTTTATTGAGATGGATAGATAGGGAGTAAGAGAGCCTGTTCATTCTGCTCCTTCCATGGGTCTACATAGAAGAGCCCTCCTGGCCCCCAAAATCCAGAGATCCCAACACATCAGTGTACCCAGATAGTCCACACAGGGCACTCTTCCCCAAAGGTCCTGCTGCCCTGTTTTTACACTCAGAACGCCAAGCTCATTCCTAGAGCAGAGAGAGGGCTTGTAGTCAGATGCAAGTGCATCATGCTCTGGTCATTGTCTCCATGAATCCAAGAGTTTCCACTCAGCAGTTATAGATGGGTCAGTGAGACTATTCTTGGTGACAGAAGCAAGAGGATTGGCAGGATACAATCTGGGAAGAAATGGGACTAGGGGTTTTCTCTTTCTTCCAGTACTCCTTGGCAATCAGGTTGATGGCAATCAGGTAACCATGGAGAAAAAAAGCAATGGAAGATGCAGAGGGCTTCTACCTTCAGAGCACGAGGTATGTCCAAACCAGTGAGGACTCAGAACTGGTCAGCTCTGCAGAAAATCCCCAGCAGCCAATGAGAACTGATCAGTCATCTGGGATAGAGCAGAAAACCTATAGATGAGCCCTTAGGAGTATAGTTGCTGAATCTCTTGGATCTACCCTCCAGGAAAAGGCTTTATGCTGCTTCTTGTTATATAAGCATGAAGTAGTTGCAGAGTAATCATCCCTTGCTGACAAATAGGTGGATTTCACTGCTCCATTTGCCATGAAGTCCTGAAAGGGAGTATAAGTGCCCTCCTTTGGTACTTCCCAGGAGCATTCTTTCCCATTCCCACACCTATTCTTCCCACACTTCTCAAGTAGTGGCTTTTAACCATTTTCTTCAGGGGAAGAAACTCTTCCCTACATTTACCCTGATTAGAACACAATCCGCCTCTTAGGGATGAAGCCTTGGCAGGTCTTCCAAGATGTATGTCCTGGGAAAGGAGGCGATGAGGCCACTTCTCTGGTGTGGGATGAGGGTTATCTTGGGATCTGGGCAATATGCTCACTTGCAGATGCCAGCACAGGTAGGCTTCAGTGAGCCATCCAACATCTGTGTCTCTCAGGGAATAGCACCAACTAGACCATTTAGAGTTCCTTCTCCTGTTGGAAAACCCACAGATCAAAACTCTGGGCCTTCCCAATGTCAGTCCTTTTCCACAGCCCACTGGCTAAGGCAATATCCATATCTGGAATACTTCCTTTCTTTTGCAAACTCTCAATTTTCTGCTTTAGAGGTTGCATTATCCCAAAGTAGCCTAAGTAAGGTGCCCTACTTTTGGGCTGCAACAAGGGTAGAATGGGATGCGGTGAAATGTCAGGGGATGGCAGAATAGCTCATTATTCCAAATTGCATGATTATCTCAGAAGCCAGCTCTCTCCACGGCCTCTGACAATTGGTATACCTTCCCATGCCATGGCCTACCCAATTGTGAAATAACCAGATAATACACTTACCTCCACGAAGGGCAGAGAGGCCTATGAGCCACTCTGCAAGTGAATAACCTGCCAAGTACTCAACGGAGGTTGGGGAATGCAGCAGAAATCTGTTGAAGCATCATTGCAACATGGACTCCAACTCCCAACCCAGACCCACCCACATTCAATCCAGGCTAGAGAGTGAAGGGCTGGGAAGGGAAGAAGGCAGGGAAGGTGCACAGGCATGCATCGCATCACATTCCTTTCTTTTTCTTCTCCTCCCCACCCACCGAGGAGTTTTCATATTTACAGGTTACAGTAAGTGTGGGAGGAGTGCAGGGGACAGTGGTAATTAGATAATTGGAGCAAAACATGGGAAGTAACTCATTAGGGTAATGAGGAGTTGAGGCTGCAGCACTGCCCAGAAGGTGGGAAAGGAGGGCTGGAAACAAGCTAAGGCTAAGAAGGCAGAGATGATACCGAAACAGGGTGAGAGCGAGAATACAGGAGGGCAAAGAATAAAAAAGTCCGTTGGTCAAAAGGAGAAAGGAGGAGAAGGGAAGAAAAAGGGGGCAGAAAAAATATAGTTGCTTTTTTCTTTTTCGTTGTTTTTCAGTTTATTTAAATTTTTTTTCTTTCTTATTATTTTTTTTTTAAGAATCTCACACCTGATATTCCACGTTCCATCCATTTCGGTTCACCAAGGGCAATGAAGAAATTCTCTTGCCTTTCGTATTCCTCCTCATCTACTATTTTAACCCTTATGGTTTTCCTGTAGGGACAACAAGAGAGAGAGTGTGTCGACTGGGTCGGTTTGTTGGTTGGTCACCTGGAGCACAGCCTTTAAAACCATTCCCCATCACTCTTGGCACATGCACTCCAGTCCTGCCGTGGTGACTTTTGACAGGACTATGGTGGATTGTGTTGTTCTTACATAAAAAATCGTTTTAGTTTTTCTTGTCTCCTTGGTCATAGTTGTTCTTATGAGTGGGAAAGGGAGCCAGGAGGCAAGGAAAGGTGGGTAAAGGAAAGGAGCCAGGAGGACAGGAAGGGAAAGGGCAGGAACAAAGAAGGGATGGGTGAAGGTGGGGAGGAATCATTTTAGATCCTGCTGATGGTTAGTGGGAAATGGATTGGGCAGCACATTCCATTGAGTGTCACATGGTAGCAGTGGCATTTCGTTGGGCAGTGGGTAAACTACTGGTCCATTGGGAAGTACCTAGGACCCTTCCACAGCAGAAAGTATGGTCAGCAGAACTCAGGGTCTGTTTGCCTTCCTCGTGTCCATATCCCCTTCTCACATGAGTCTCATAAAGAAAAATTTAAAACAAAAGTATTTATGATGAAGGAAACCAGAGAGAGAGAGAGAGAGAGAAAGGGAGGCAGAATTCTATTATCTTTCTCTTCCTTTATCTCATAGGGCGTCAGTGGTGGGAACAAAAATAAATATGTATTAAGACCACAATGTGATATAGGTGTCCTTTAATATTTGCAGCTGATGCAGGCCTGAAAAAATGTGAAGCAAATGAAGGAAAACAAATTCAAAATCTCTTTTTGACTTTTACAAAATAGGTGCATTGTGTCCCAAGGCTGGCTTCCTTAAATATTGATTATTATGGGCCTGAGGGACAAGGTGATGGAGGTTTCTGTCTATCACTGGGAGCCTCCACAAAGCATAGTGTCTTTTAAAACCAAATTATGCAGGGAAGGAAAGTTTCCTTGAAAATCACTTTTCTCCAAAGACTGGCACGTAGCTGGCTCAGGTCATTGCCATGTAGAGAAGCTGCTACCTGGACCTGACTCTCTCCGTATGGTTTCTCCTAATACTTCACAGCACACAATGGTGGTCAGTGGGTCCCACTAGCGAGCTGTGATTGTTATTTTAGGCATGCTTTTTTGGTCTGGGACCTAAATGCTCTCTAAGTGGCAAAGAAGTGCTAATAAGTGATAGCCTAGAATGTCTGCTCAGATCCTATGATCTTCCTCTTATGTTCTGAGGGTGTGCTCAGCTTTGCCATCTGTAAAGTGGTACACTGACCTGAGATGATTCCCTGGGCACAGGACTTGCTGTGCACATGGTGTGCGTTTGAGTGTGTCCATGTTTTAAAACTACATATTTTGTTACCTTTTTGACCCCTTCCTCCTTTTTTTTTTTTTTTTTTGTGTCATCTTTCCATGCTTTACTCAGTGGCCAAAAGACAAAGCTCACTGACTGTCATGAAGCATTTTCCAGGATTTTTCTCTCCAGGACCTGGTTATGGAACTCTGGGACTATGTAGGAGATGTGAGCCTCGCCTATTTTCCTGCTGCAAGGAGAATGGGATGGAAATGGGGTGCCTGTGACCATGGCAATGGCCTAAAGGAGCATGATTGATGGGTAGGCCAGGGAAGGAATGCTGCTCCTCCCACAGTATGGCCTGTCCTGAAGTAGAGTTCTCTGACTTGCCACTTAGCTGAAAGCAAAAGCTCTATCTACTCTGAGAAGTCCCAAGGCTTCTTGGGGAAGCTCTTACCCAGGTCAGATTCCTCCTTCCCACTAGTCTTACTTTCTGCCTCCATACCTAGATGTTCCTAATGTGAAAAGCGAGGTAGGTCTTTGACCTAGATTGGAACACAGACCTATGCTTTCAACTCCATAATGTTCGGTGGAGAACTGTGCCTTGTTAGTAGGGATATGGCAGATGAGATGGCTCCTAACGTCTATTTTGGGGAGTGGGTGAACAGCAAATAGAACCAAAATCTGAATACACTGATTCTCAACTTCCAAGAACTATAAACTTAGCCCTGAGAATAACTGCCTTTGGAAATCTGTGCTGAGAGCCGGTGTCAGCTTCCTCATACCGCCCTTCTGCCTGGTCCTGTGCTATCTGGACATTTTCCTTCCTGAATTCCAAGCAATTTGGGAGACACAGAGAGCCTCCTATGTGATACTGTCAGGGTTCTGGCTGGCCTCTCTCTCTCTCTCTCTCTATACCCATTTCTTCATCCCATAAAATTTATCATTGGCTCTTGAGCATCCCTCTTATCAGTACCATGTGACAGGCTGGTGGGTGTTAGGATAGATCAGGGAGCAGAGAGAGGAAAGGGAGAGATGAAAAGAGAGAAAAGAAAACAAAAGAGAATAACAGAAGAAACAAGGGAAAGGGAACCAGCGAGGTGAGAAAAAGAACAAGAGCCAGAGACAAACAGATGGGAGAAAGAAAGAAATAGAAGAGGAAAGAAAAAGGTTAACGTTAGTGTGGAGGACAGGGTACTACACCTTTCTGAAAACTCATATCCACCATGCGGGGGCCCATCATCTCAATGAAGTAATTCTTGTTTTTCTCATACGCCTCATCATCAATTACCTTGATGTGAATTGTTTTGCTGTGAATGGAAAAATAAGTATCATAAGCACAGAGCAGAGTGAGGGCAAGCCAGCCAGGAGAAGACACAGGAAGAGAAGGAAACAGTGAAAAGATCTAGAAAAGACAAAGTTGGCCCACACCACATAGGCACGGAGGGGCATGGCTGTCCTCAACCTCCCTCCAGCCTCAACGTGCTCCTCCGGGGCTATGTGTGGTTTCATGGTGTGATCTTACTTGAAGACATGGGAAGAGCTCAGGCTTTGCGGTCAAAGGCTCTGGCTTCTAATCCTTGATCTTCTGTGTGACCTTGGATGAATAATTGAACTGATATACAAAAGGGACAAATAATGCTTACACTATCACAGGGCAGTTGGGAGAGCCATGAAATAATATACATATAAAGGGATAGGCATTATGGTTTCTCACAATGTTTGTTTCCTTATCCTTCTTGTTTTGGGGGCAAGGGAGAATTTTTTGACTTTTGAAATCTGCTGATGTTGCTCTGAAAGGTTTATTTTATAGAAAGGGCAGAAGGTGAGGGGGGCTGCAAGTTGGCCTGTGGGAGTCTCACCTGGAAATGATAGAACTTCCCTCCTCCATGGCAGTGACTATCACAGGGGAGATAGGAGGGCCATTTGGCTCAAGTCACACATTCAGGTAACCCACAGTGGGCCTCAAAAACTACTGAGGATGCACCCTCCGATCTAGCATCTGCAATCTCAGGGATATACTTGGCTGGACCACACTAATTCTAGGAAGCTCTGAATTATGGTTGGCTTATAAGCCATACAATTATCTTGTAAATAGCACAATTATATTTTTTATAATTAAAAAGTGTTACTTTGTTAATGTAAACATTTAAAATACAAAATCATTTTAATAACCCTGTTTTGCATTTCTTTATTTTTTTAAAGATTACGAGGAGTTTTAAAAATGGAAGTGGGCCTGGGCCTTTCCCAACCCCAGGCCATAACAAAGGGGACACTTCAGGACCAGATGCTTAGGCCTCTCCCAGGCGGCTGTGAGACATTGCAGAAGGTGGTAGATGTGGGGCTTAGTCTCCCCAGGGCATTGGGAAAGAAGGGGCCCATGCAGGTGCCCTGTTCAGCTGCCATGGGCATGCATCCTTTCTGACTCTGGTGTCTTAATGCCTTCCCTTTGCTGAGGAGATTGAGGTCTTCAGATCCTCCCTTTATTCTTTTTTTCTAAAGTAGGAATATCTTTACATTCTGGTTTGGTACAATCTCTCTGCTCTCCTGAGCTTTCCCAAGTCACCTTGTACAGAGTTTCCATGGTCCACACTGTTGCTCCCATAAAATCAGATGTGGGTCCACTGTTCCTGAAGTGAATGCTATAGCAGTTACTAATACACCCCTACCCTGACACCCCACCATCTACAAAAACAAAGACTTCAAACCCTCATCACTTGCTACACCCTCCCCAGCTGCAGAAAAGCCTGGTGAGCCACCATAGAAAGCCTGATTGTTCAACCTGCGAAAGGCCACAATCTTTGGGCCTTCCTTCTTCCACAGGAGGGTCACTGGCAGAGTGGGTACACTGGTAATACAGACTGATGACCTGGGTTCAAATCCCGCCTCCACCCCTCACTAGCTGTGTGACCTTGGGCAACTTGCTAAAGCTCTCCAAGTCTCAATTATAAAATGGAATTAATAATATCTACATCCTAGTGTTCTTAAAAACATTTGGCAGGGTACATGTCACCTAGTAAGTGTTTAATAAATAGCAATTATTCTTACTTATAATAATGTAAAGGAGCCCTGGTTAGCACTTGGCTGCTAACCAAAAGTTGGTAGTTCAAACCCACCCAGTGGGTCTGTGGGAGAAAGGCTTGGTGATCTGCTTCCATAAAGATTATAGCCAAGAAAATGCTATGGGGCAGTTCTACCTCACATGGGGTTACTGTGAGTCAGAATCAATGTGACAGCACCCAAAAATAACAACAACATAATAATGTAAGTAAGTAATAATAATCCCAGTTCGGTAGTTTGAGAGTAAAATACGTAAGGAAATCTTATCATCTCCAGTCATTTAGTCAGAAAATAAGGGGAACTCAACAAATACGGACGGTGACCCAAGAGGGGATACCGACTGGAAATAGAAGTCAGAGTAAGAAAGGTTTAGAGAAAACAGGATGGTAGATCCCAAGTGGGTTCTTAGAGGGGCTTGAAATGTTAAGGGGTAACATGGAGAACAACTCTCAAATAACCCCAAAATCTGGCCTTGTGCCCCTGTCAGTGATAAGTTCTAGGCTCTGTGTGAGACCTTGTATCTCATACAACATAGCATTGCTTGTGCTTTATTTTTTAATGAACAGATAAACAGAAAAAGAGAAGCCACTGACACCTTAGGCAGAGAAATGGGGACAGGCATGAAGTAGCAGCAAGAGAAACTTAGATTGGCTGGC